GCCGCCGCTTCTTCTTCTTTTGTGGATCCTCTTGGTCTTTCCATTCATGTTGCTGGCTGTGTGTTCTGATTTTCCGCTTTCCGTGCACTTGATTCACCATCCCAAAGATTCTTCAACTCTTTGATTCTCGAATGGAACCGCCGCCGCCGCCTCTTCAGTTGTTGTCTTTGTCGTCCTCATCCTCATCTTCACCTTCTTCATCATCTCCATCACCCTCACCATCATCTTCGTCATTATCTTCATCTTCATCCTCGGTTTCCTCATCCCAGCTTTTGCCATTCGCCTGTCGGCTCTGTTCGCTCTCCTTCGCCAAGAAGTTCTCCCTAGCAGAGCATGTCATGTGCAGGCATTCCACCACTAAGGAGGAGGAAAATGGGGACAAGGATTCTTCTTCTTCCTCCTCGCCACCGCCATCATCTTCAGCATCAACTTCTTCTTCAGCAGCAGCATCGTCAGCTTCGAATTCATCATCACCNTCGGTTTCCTCATCCCAGCTTTTGCCATTCGCCTGTCGGCTCTGTTCGCTTTCCTTCGCCAAGAGCCACTCCCTCGCGGAGCATGTCATGTGCCGGCATTCCACCACTAAGGAGGAGGAGGAGGAGGAAAATGAGGACAAGGATTCTTCTTCCTCCTCGCCACCGCCATCATCTTTTTCTTCTTCTTCAGCATCAACTTCTTCAGCAGCAGCATCGTCAGCTTCGAATTCATCATCACATTCTTCTTCTTCGCCGGTATCATCCTCTTCAGCAAAGCGGTCATTCAAGTGTGCTCGCTGTGAGGTGGTAGCGGCCACCAAGAGTGACCTCCACCGCCACGAAAACGACAGCCACCGCCTGCAGCAGACGGAGCGCTTCCTCTGGGCGATGTACAGTGAGCAGCGAAGTAGACAACAACAGTCGACGAACAGAAATTTGAGGCTGATGACTGATGATAATGTTGAGGGTGGTGAGGAGTTTGTCAAAGAGCTTTCATCTCTTGAAGAGCAAAGTCCTGGTCCCAACCGAGTCCTCGACCCGTTCCTCCTCAGCACCGCCTACCGCTGTTCACTGTGCGGGCAGGCGTTTACCTACCGCTGTAGGTGGCATCTGGTTCACCGAGATGAACTGGTTCCAAATGATGATGATGGTAAGGCCAACAGCTTGAAAGTAAATAAAAAGGGCCCAACAGAGACGACCCAGCTGCCCTTTCCCTGCTTCTTCTGCATCAAGAAGATCTTCGAGGCAAAGAAGCGACGGGCGGCAGAAATTAAAAGGCAGCAGCAGCTTCGAAATTCAAAGACAAACAGTGAGCAGCAGCCTGTGATTGAGCTTGATGAGGAGGAGGAGGAAATGGAAGCCGAGGAGATAGAAATCGCTGGTAATAATGAGCCGATCTCAAGAGCAGAGCCTCCTCCTCCTCCAGGACAGGATTCCAGTGATGAAGCTCCTAAAGATAATAAAAAGGACGACAATCAGAACAATAGAACCGCTTCCGTGCCAAATCGAACTTCGACGCCGCCGCTTACAATCACGGCCAAACTTACCTACAAATGCGCCGGCTGCCGTCTTCGCTTCACCAGCCGCGAGGACCGCGCCGACCACGAGGCGGCCGAGGGCCACCGGCCCTCGAAGTTCGCCTGCTCCATCTGCGGTCGAGTGCTTCGAGATCGCTACAAGCTGGACCGCCATCGAGCCACCGTTCACGCCGACCTTCCACAGCACCTTCTGCAGATGAGCTTCGGCGATTCGAAATCGGCAAACTCCGAACACTTGGGGCCAATTCGAACGCCCTCCGCCGTGGGCGCCTTCCAGTGTCCGCTCTGTCGGAAGCGCCTCAGTCGGAAGGATCACCTGAAGGAGCACCTGAGGAAGCG